GGAAAGTTTGTGTATGGGCGTCAGTGTCTTAGTGGGTAGGCCGCTGTGATCCTCGGGCCGCGTGTGTGTCTTTTGCCCCGAACCCTGCGTGTGTCTGATTGTGACTCTGCGTGTGTGTCTGGGGCCCAGGCTGTGGCCCCGGCTTCCGTGGTTGTCCGTGCGACCTGTCTCATCCCAGCAGAAGCTGCTGTCAGGTTGGGATGGGGAGTAGGTGTGCATGTGTCTAGGTGCCTCCTGCAGAGAGCTGTGACCCCCCCTGCTGTGTGTGTGTATTTTACATCTGATTCCATCTGTGGCTTCAAGTGTCACTATACATTGACCGTGTGTGTGACTGTAATGTGTGACCATATGTGTCTGAGGCTCTGTGCTCACTCTTAGGACCAACCATCTGCCTCTGAATTTGTGTCTGTAATTTACCTCTGACCCTATTCACTCTTTGTGCAAAAGTCAGTTACCTGGGTGTCCAAGCATGGCCACACATGTGTGACTCACATTCTGTGGGGTTGTGCCTATAATTTACCTCGGATTCCATCTTTGTGTGAAAGTTCCTGTGTGTGTCCATTTGTGACTTTGTTTTATGTATGCGCCTGGCCTTCCATGTGTGCTGCTGGGACCCTCTGGGGCTTTGTGTGTGTGAAGAGCAAGAGAAAGAGACCCCTGGTGACTCTTAGTGGGCCTGGGGCCCTCCCTCCTGAGACCTTGCACGTATACTTGACCATTTGGAACAATAATCACAACTGCCATTGTTCCCTGGTACAGCTTGTAAAGCATGTTCCATGCACCATATCAATACCTGGCCTCCGTGTAGTTTCGATGGAGCCCACCCCTGGGGCCCCGTTATTCTGAGTCCTTGGCTTCTGTGCGGGTGTCAGGGTTCTCTGTCAGCAGCAGCAGCTGACGCCTCCATCCCTTGCCGTGTTAGGCAGGCCTTGGCTTTGTCTTCCCCACAACATGGCGAACACTGTGACTTCATTTCCCTAGGTTGTGCATGTGTTAGCCGGGGTCCTCTGTGACTGTCCTTTCACTGCATGACTCTAACTGGGAATGTTGTTTGCTTTCAACTCTTCTCTGAGATGTTCTCGTAGCTTTATGTGTGAATGTGATTTATCTGGGACTTTCTATGGTTTTCTGTAACCCTCTGCAGCCTTGTGTGTGTGTGTGTGTGTGTGTGTGTGTGTGTGTGTGTGTAACTTCTGGGACTTGTGGCTGCAGCATACTTTACTGCTGTGTGTAATTATGCTGGGACTCGTGGCTCTGTATGACCAACATACCTGTGGTACTACTGCTGGGTCGGGGGTGGAGAAGACTGCTTGCAGCTGTGGAGAAACGCAATTTGCCTGGAGCTCTGGGCCTGTTTAAGCCCAGGAAGCTGGAGGTGAGGTGTCTTCAGTGGCAAAAACCCATTTCTTCTTAGTCCCCGCCCAATAACGGTACTCCAGCCACTTGGGTCTCCTCCCTCCGTCTGCTGCAGCCTGCCTGGTTGGGCAGCCTCAGGGCTGTGTCTGCCCTTGAGCACTTCCTGTTCCTCCTGCTAAGGAGCAAGATCTGGGAGCACAGGCCCTGCCCTGCTCTGTCTGTCTGTGTTAGACCTGTCCACAGATGTCCTCCCCTGACCTGTTTCTGCGGGAGACTGTGACAGGTTGAGGAGGGGTCTGCAGTCAGACCAGAAGGGAGAAGATGAGGCCGGGGAGGGATGTGGTCACCTTTCCTTCAGCCCCATCCATAGCTCACCAGTGCCCTTAGGGCAGGGGTGGGCAAACTTTTTGACTCGAGGGCCACAATGGGTTCTTAAACTGGACCGGAGGGCCAGAACAAAAGCATGGATGGAGTGTTTGTGTGAACTAATATAAATTCAAAGTAAACATTACGTAAAAGGGTACGGTCTTTTTATTTTTTTTTAGTTTTATTTATTTCAAATGTCCGGCCCGCGGGCCGTAGTTTGCCCACAGCTGCCTTAGGGTGAAGTCCAAACTCCTGCCGAGAGCCCACAGCACCTGTGGGTGGGCCTCTGCCTTCCTGTCCTCCTTCCCCAGCCCCACTGACCACCTCACTCTTAAGACCTGCTTAGCTCACTGTTCCTGCTCCCTAAACAGTCTTTGTCCCTTTGCCAGATCTCTCTTTTTATCCTCGGGGCTCAGCCTAAGTGTGCCCTGCACCCCACCCACCCGCTTCGCCCTCCTTTATCACTGTGGTCCTCCAACTTGAGCACGCATCAGTCTCCTGGGCCCCATCCTATCTCTGATTCAGTAGGTCTGCAGTGGGTCCCAGAACCTGCATTTCTCACAACTTCCAGGTGTTGCTGGTGCTGTTGGTGTGACCAGTGTCAGTGAGATTATCATCCTCGTTTACATGTTTCCTTATTGATTATTCCCCAAACAGAACATCCAGACCTGCAGGCAGGGATTATACCTGGTTTGCTCACTTCTGTGTGCCCAGTGCCTAGTGCATGGCAGGTGGTCAGTGTGTAGTTAGAGAGTGAATGACTGCAGTTTGGGGTCAGTCGTGCTGGGGTGTCTTGCCATACTTGTCAGGCTCAGCGTAGCATCTTCGACACAGTTGGGCTGGGGCAGTGGCAGTGGCCATGTGCTCCATCTCAGGCTGGCAGTCCTTAATGATCAAATCAGAGTGCCTTCCATGTGGTGGGCTGTCTGTCTGTCCTCCAGACAGCCCTGTGAGGTCGGTACTGTTATATTCCCATTATACTCAAGAAGAAACGCACAAAAAAATCGTTCAGAAAGCTTTAGACACTTACCCAAGGTCACCCAGGGAAGTGGCCAAACAGACCAGCTTTGGCCTCAGCCCTCAGAGCATTGGGCAAGCCATATACCTGGTTGAATCCAAATTCTGGGCAGGATGGGGGAGATGAAGAGGTGGGGAGGAAGTGGGGTTGGGAGGTAGGAAGTGTGTTTTAAATAGAGGGGAAGGAAGGTGTCTTGGAGACATGTCCATTGAGCAGAAAGCTGAAGGAGGCAAGGGAGCCCTGCAGACATCTGGGAGGAAGGGCATTTGAGCAGAGGGACTAGTCAAGGCAGGAGCTGGGGAAGAATGAGTGAGGGGAGAGGCCATGAGAGCAACCAGCCCTGGGCTTTAGCTGGAGTGAGTGCAGCAGGGGAGGGTTCATAGGCTCCCTCTCCCTGCATGTGGGGGGAGAGGGATGGAGCAGGGAGACCTAGGGAAAAGGTGGCTTTGAAAATTTAAGAGGAGTGGTGGTGGCTTAGGTCACCATCTATTTTACTTACTTACTTACTTATTTCCACAAATTCATTTCACATGTACAGGGGACATGACTGCCTACCCTGGTCCCTGTCTTGAGCAATCCTGGGAACAGAGCAGTAACCAAGACAACAGGGAGCTTCCAGATCTGTGGGGGAAATGGAGTTGTCATCACACAGTGACAGCCTAGAGTAGTCAGGGCTAGGATGAGAGAAGCATAGGCAGAGTGGTTAGAGCTGGGATAGGGGCTGTGGGGGGCAGTGTCCAGGAGGGAGGAGGCGTGGAGCACGAGTCCTGAAGGATGCATAAGAATTTGCTAGGCCAAGAGGAGAAAGTATGGTCTGAACAGAGGAAAAGAGCATGTGCTAAACCTTGGAGACAAGAGAGAAGCTTGAGGAGCTCCTACCTCCTTCCCAGGGAGATCGAGTTCCCCATGTTGGAATCCTGCTCTGAATTAAATGGACAAGTGGTTTGCTGCTTTGGGCCTCAGTTTCTTCCTCTGTGAAAAGGGTATGTGTGTGATAGTCGTATCAAATGCACAGCATGTTGTGGGAAGAGTACATTCATCATATGCAGAGCTGGCCATGATATTGGGTCCTGACTCGAGTCCCTTTACAGTTCCCCAGCTGACCCCACAGCCCTGTGGCCGTTTGTGTTTATTCTGTCCTCTGAGCGTTCTGCTTGTTCTGGGTCTGTCTCCCAGCAGCAGTCTAACCCTCCGAGGCAGGAGCCTCCTCCAGTGGTATCTGCTGCTCCTGGCTCTAGGCAGCGTTTGGGTTATTCATGTAGTCACCAATGTGTATTCAGAGTTCACTACGTGCCAGGTCCAGTTTTGGGTGCTGGGGGCACAGTGGCAACCAGGCCCTCCTAAAGTTCACAGTCTGGGGGAGACAATGAACCAACTGAATAAGTGATCAGGGGGAGTTTAGATGGTTGGGTGGGGCTGGGGGCCACTTGAGGGGGGCCACCAGGGGAAGAGCATTTGGGTGGAATAAGACAGAGCTGCTTATGCGGGGCCTGTGGAGGATATACGGGCACAGGGAATAGAAGTGCAGAGGCTGGAATGGGGGGAGTGACAGGGACAACACTAGGCCTTGGGTGCAAGGTAAGGACTGCTTTCAGCTGAATTGAGTTGCAGCCTGGTGAGAACCAGAAGGCCCTGTCCTGACCTGACTCGGGTTCATAGGCCCCCACTGGCTGTGTGGGGAGCAGATTGTAGGGGCTGCTGGTGTGCCGGAGGCAGAGCCAGGGTGCTGGAGGCGGGGAAGTGGGTATATAATAGAAATAATGGAAATAGATTTTGGAGGTGGGACTTGCTAACAGATTAGAAATGAGGGGGAGCAAGAAAGAAAATGCTAGGGTTTTTAGCTCAAGCAACTGAGTGGAAAGTGGCTGCTCAATAAGTATTATACGAATGACTAATAAGTTAATTAAAAAAAAATAGCAGGTATACTGAGAGTGCACTGTGTGCCAGGCTCTATTAGAAGCACTGTGCATGTATTGATTCATTTAATTCTGCAGACAACTAGATGAGAACATGTATTTCTCACCCTTGGGTCACAGATGAAGTAACCGAGGTACAGAGAGTTAGGGAACTTGCTCTGGGCCATGCCGCTAGGAAGTAGAGTAGAATAGATGGGTGGGGATCAATGGACTGGTGGGCAGGCCTACCAAAATAGGCCTGTCTCCATACCCCGGCTTGTTTTACCCCATAACCCCTTCTTCTTT